CCTGATGACGGGAAGAAAGGCCACTTTGAGTGCCACCTGCTCACCAAAACATGAAAATTGGAGTTGTTAGCAAAAGGGTTTTCACTTTTTCCTCCTAAACCTCAATTGGGTCAGCAACCTAATCAAACCAGTCAAGTCTCCAAGAGCTCTGTTTGGTTTCATTTTCAGAATCAATGTTTCAATTTTTTTTTTTTGAAACAATAAAACTAGTTTGACAAAAAGAAAAAAAATCACCAAAAAATATATTTTCAAAATTCTAAAATTATTCAGCCAAAACCATATAAAAATGACGAGTTTATTGATTTTTATCCCCCCCAAAAAAAAAAAATCACCAAATTAAGTTTTAAGTTTTTTTGAATATCTTTAAGAAAACAAAATCTGAAAACAAAATGTCTGCACCATAAAATACAGGATTTTTACTAACACAAACCTATGCCTAATTTAGATATCAGAACAACAAAATGGGTCCCAAATTCAGAACCCTTATCTTGTTTCTCTATCATAAACCCTCAAAGAATATATATTTTCTGTTCAAATTCACAAGATATATGGAACTAAAGATGGGTATAAAGAGATAATTGAGGGAAGAGAAAGAACCTGGGCAATGATAGGAACTGGGTGAGAGAGGTAGACGCCATTGGCAGAGAGCTCCAAGACTGGGTTTTTGTCTAAACCCAGAAAGGGTTTATCAGAGTGAAACTGGTGAGAGGATGAGGAGAGAGAAAACCCCCATTTGGCTTCGGGGCTAGCCCATTTGATTATGATTTTGGAATTTTTTAGAAAGTTAAAAGGAAAAAAAACAAAAGAATGCATTATCTAAACCATGTCACTGAATGCCACTCATTTACCTTTAAGTTACCAAAATGCCACTAGGGTTTTTCACCATCAAAATTCCACCGAAGCTCTGTCTCTCTCTGTCTCTCTCTCTAACCCAGAATGCAATTCGGTAGATTTGAGCCATTGCAGCAGTAGACAGCTCGTTTTCTTGGAAATCAGTCAAATGGGTTACTTCTATTTTATCGATTTCTTCAGCATATTCATTAGTTTTGTTGGATTGCTTTATTAGAAACTGGCATTCTCAGACCCTATGAATGCTAAATGTTCTAATTATAATGGTATAATTTTTTTATTTTTATTTATATTTATTTTTTGTTAAATTCTAGTCATATTTGCTGTGATGTTCATGAATGGTTTAGAATATTACAAGGATTTTACTTTTTGGACAATCGGAGATGGAATCACCTGAATGGTTTGTGCAAGTATTTTTTTGTTTCACTAATTACTTCAATTTTATGTATGACTACTGTGTCTGCAGTGCTCTTGAAATTGTGGTGAACTGAAAGGAATTCTGACTTGCAAGTTTGTGTTGAAGAAAGACCAGTCCTAAGATGAACATTTTCAAACAATTAGCACCCATCAAATGTGGGTTTAGAGGTGCTGCCATAAAATCTTGTAGAGGTAGTCTCCACTCCTTATTTTATTGGATCATTGATTTTTAGTGTAATTTTTATAGGGTATGGACTTTCTTGAATCATATTGTTATTGGATGCCAAGAAATCATGAAACCACAATGCTTTTGTTCAAGTTCTGATCCATAAAATGTATGTATAATATAAATCGGTTTCCAAGTTCCGAGAAAGATTAGGTTTATGATTGTGTGACGGTAAAAATGTAGTTGGATAGAGTTAATTTAAAAGCTTGTGACATGTTTAGAGCTATGTCATTTGAAGGGATCAGGTCTGGATTTAAAATTAGGAAGTTCCATTGAAGAAATTTTTATTTTCTTCTGATCATCTTCTTCAAGAAGAACAATACCCCCAAAAATAATTAGAAGCTTCAGTTTGTAAAATTCAACCCTAAAAGACGATCTTTGCCTGGAAGATCAGAACCGTAAACTTGATGTTTAATGGTTTAACCAGGAAAGAACTGGATACGAACACAAAACTTTCTCAATTTCTAGCTTTGAAATGACATTTTGTTTCGGATGCCTAAATGTTGCATAACATATATATAATATAATTGCGTATCTCCTGAAATATTATGGGAGGGTTTGGTTACTTTCTTGATACTTGTTTCTTTTCTTTATGGCAGCGTGCCTTTCTTTATTCCATTCGTCTCCAGACACTTCTGTGGCAGTTCATGTACAAGAACATGAAATAGTAATAACTTTAGGAAGCAATGTGGGGGATAGACTTCATAACTTTAATGAAGCATTGCAGTTGATGAAGAAATCAGGCATACACATTGCAAGGCATGCCTGTTTATATGAGACGGAGCCTGCTTATGTGACGGATCAACCTCGCTTCCTCAATTCTGCTGTTAGAGGTGTTACAAAACTCGGGCCTCATGAACTGTTGGGAGTACTTAAGAAGATTGAGAAGGACTTGGGGCGTACTGATGGGATAAGGTATGGTCCAAGACCAATTGACTTGGACATACTGTTTTATGGGAAATTCAAAATTTCTTCCGAGATTCTTACAGTACCCCATGAAAGAATTTGGGAGAGACCGTTTGTAATGGCTCCAATGATGGATTTGATCGGATCATCTATCGACAGTGATACTGTTGCACGATGGCATGATTTGTCAGTCCATTCGGGTGGACTTTTTGAATCATGGGAGAAACTTGGCGGTGAATCCCTTATTGGGAAGGATGGATTAAAAAGGGTTTTGCTTGTTGGAAATCGCTTGTGGGACTGGTCGGAAAGAACATTTGTCATGGGTATCCTTAATCTGACCCCAGATAGTTTCAGTGACAGAGGGAAGTTTCAGTCTGTGGACGCTGCAGTCTCTCAGGCCCATTTCATGATTTCCGAGGGTGCAGATATAATTGATCTTGGTGCACAATCCACACGCCCAATGGCACCTAGCGTTTCTGCTGAGGAAGAATTGGATAGACTAATCCCCGTTTTAGAAGCTGTCTTGAAAATGCCCGAGGCTGAAGGGAAACTCTTATCTGTGGATACTTTTTATTCCGAGGTTGCTTCAGAAGCGGTCAGCAAAGGGGCTCATCTCATAAACGACGTGTCTGGTGGACAATTAGACTCCAAAATGCATAGTGTTGTGGCACGCCTTCAGGTACCTTATGTCACAATGCACATGAGGGGGGATCCGTCTACAATGCAAAATAGCAAAAACCTGCAATATGACGATGTTTGCAAACAGGTTGGGTCAGAGTTATACTTGCGGGCTAGAGATGCTGAAATAGCGGGTATCCCAGCTTGGAGGGTTATTATTGACCCAGGAATTGGATTCTCAAAAAATACTGAACAAAATTTGGACATTCTCATGGGCTTATCAACCATTCGAGCAGAGATTGCGAGGAAGAGTTCAGGTTTGTCTCATGCTCCGCTATTGATCGGACCTTCGAGGAAGAGATTTTTAGGTGATGTTTGCAGTCAACCTGACGCAGTTGATAGAGATCCGGCAACTGTTGCATCTGTCACAGCTGGGGTTTTGGGTGGAGCAAATATTGTGAGAGTACATAACATTAGAGATAATCTTGATGCTGTGAAGCTTTGTGATGCAATGCTGAAAAGGAGATAGATCTTTTGCATGATGAGAAACAAACAATCATGCAAATTTCAAATTTTGATTTAAATTTTGTATGTCATCGAGTTATACCTAAATGAATGTAGTCCATCTGCTTCATTTTCTTCATTTTTTAGTCAGTTTTTGAGCTACTTTTTCTGTAACATTGTTGATTTTATGTGCCCCCCACACACACAAAAAAAAAACCAAAAAAAAAAAAAACAAATTTGATTCAAAAGATAGAAAAAAAATATGAATATTCCAAGATTGATGATGGAAACCCCCCCAGAATGAAGTTTACTGAATTATTTATTTATTTAAATAAAAAATGACAAAAAATTGATTTGAGTACAGTATTCTCATCGTTTAGTTCATGTTTAACAAAATAGGTTTTGAAGATTACATATGAATAGAAAGTACAATCAATACAAACATACCTATAACACCAACTTCTATAACTACCCACATTCATAAGAGATCAAAAGTGTATTTATTTGTATGTGCTATAAAAATGACTGCTGAGTATTTCTCTCCCTTCAAGGCTGCGGAAGAGGTAAGCTATCGAACATCTTCTTGATTCTTATCACCAAATCTCTTGTAGCTGCTGGAAGGCTTTTGGAAATGAAACTTTTAGGCCATTTCAATGAAATAAAAAAAAAACACAAAACAAAACAAAAATTATTATTCTTTTGATAAGAAAAATTTTCGTAGATAAAACTAGAAGAGGGCACGTGCTATCTATAATTGATTTCAAAATAACAATAATGCTACCGGTGAATAACATATGTAAGTTAAGGATCAGCATAGTGTAAAACCATTTAAAGTAGTAGGTTAACAAATAACATTGTTATCTGTGCAATACTGCAAGCATTTGTTCCACTAGAATGAAGTCATCAGAGTTTGAAAATAAAAAACACAACAGTAGACACGCAAACCAAAAAATGGTTTACATTGTAAAGAGTATTTTCTGCAAAAAATGGTTTAGGACATTGAAACAGTTTCTCCATATCCCTTATTGGGAAGGATGGATTAAAAAGGGTTTTGCCTGTTGGAAATCGCTTGTGGGACTGGTCGGAAAGAACCTCTGTCATGGGTATCCTTAATCTGACCCCAGATAGTTTCAGTGACGGAGGGAAGTTTCAGTCTGTGGACGCTGCAGTCTCTCAGGCCCATTTCATGATTTCCGAGGGTGCAGATATAATTGATCTTGGTGCACAATCCACACGCCCAATGGCACCTAGCGTTTCTGCTGAGGAAGAATTGGATAGACTAATCCCCGTTTTAGAAGCTGTTCTGAAAATGCCCGAGGCTGAAGGGACACTCTTATCTGTGGATGCTTTTTATTCCGAGGTTGCTTCAGAAGCGGTCAGCAAAGGGGCTCATCTCATAAACGATGTGTCTGGTGGACAATTAGACTCCAAAATGTCAGTGACAAATAGAGGAAAAATATGCAATGCTGTACATGAGATTAAACTGTAGAAGCACAGCTATATGCAGATATGACCACGTGACGGAAAAATGAGTAGATGATCTTGTTTCCAAATTTTTTCTTTCTTTCTTGTGGACATTAACGTATTTGTTTTGGACATTAGCTTTCCGCGCCACAAGAAAGCTATTCTTTTTTCAACATGCACCAAAGCATGCTGAGAAGCGAGCTACACTGCATAAAAAACATACTTAAGATTGGGTTTGAGTACTGTAGTCATGGACCGGAATTGAAACAAGTTCCGATCCCAAGGCTTCATCCAACTAGTAAATGGCCAAGAGAAGGGCTTATTATTGACAGGGCCACTTAGACAAGATGTTTTGTTCATAACATTCTATTCGCTTTGAAAGTCATGTATCTGAACAAAACGTGCACCAATTATGAAGCGTGAATACTTATACAAGGGAGTCATATCCGTATCATACCGGGTACCGACACTCCTCCAATATTTATCAAATACTTTCTAAACTTATCCACAATTATAAATTAATTTTCTTTAATTTTGAATAAGTATCGGATAAAAAACATACTTAAGATTGGGTTTGAGTACTTCAGTCATGGACTGGAATTGAAACAAGTTTTGATCCCAAGGGTTCATCGAACTAGTAAATGGCCAAGGCAAGGGCTTATTATCGACAGGGCCACTTAGGCAAGGTGTTTTGTTCATAACATTCTATTCGCTTTGAAAGTCATGTATCTGAACAAAACGTGCACCAATTATGAAGCGTGAATACTTATACAAGGGAGTCATATCCGTATCATACCGGGTACCGACACTCCTCCAATATTTATCAAATACTTTCTAAACTTATCCACAATTATAAATTAATTTTCTTTAATTTTGAATAAGTATCGGATAAAAAACATACTTAAGATTGGGTTTGAGTACTTCAGTCATGGACTGGAATTGAAACAAGTTTTGATCCCAAGGGTTCATCGAACTAGTAAATGGCCAAGGCAAGGGCTTATTATCGACAGGGCCACTTAGGCAAGGTGTTTTGTTCATAACATTCTATTCGCTTTGAAAGTCATGTATCTGAACAAAGCGTGCACCAATTACAAAGTGCGAATACTTATACAAGGGAGTCATATCCGTATCATACCGGGTACCGACACTCCAATATTTATCAAATACTTTCTAAACTTATCCACAATTATAAATTAATTTTCTTTAATTTTGAATAAGTATCGGATAAAAAACAAACTTAAGATTGGGTTGGAGTACTTCAGTCATGGACTGGAATTGAAACAAGTTCTGATCCCAAGGGTTCATCGAACTAGTAAATGGCCAAGGCAAGGGCTTATTATCGACAGGGCCACTTAGGCAAGGTGTTTTGTTCATAACATTCTATTCGCTTTGAAAGTCATGTATCTGAACAAAACGTGCACCAATTACAAAGTGTGAATACTTATACAAGGGAGTCATATCCGTATCATACCGGGTACCGACACTCCTCCAATATTTATCAAATACTTTCTAAACTTATCCACAATTATAAATTAATTTTCTTTAATTTTGAATAAGTATCAGATATTTTGGGAACTCTTAAGATACCGAACTATCTTGAAATTAAGACGTGACATTTTTTATGTAAAATTAGAACTATTTTTAGAATAATGCAAGGATAGTTTTCAATATTTTTGCATACTCCTTGCATGAGAAAATTTGAGAAATAGTGTGGTTAAAGCATGTCAAATTTGGGCTAAATTCGTGTCCACATAACAAAAACCCTAATCTTTATTTATTTTATGTGCATACATTACAAATTTGAAAGTGCAAACATTTTATAGAAAACTAATGACATAGTGTGTTACAAATATGTTTTGACATAATTACTTTTTTATACCATTTATCCTCAATGTATCTGTAGCTCACATTGTTAGAAAATTTCCATATTCAATGCATCCATGCTTCACAATGCACAAATAAGCATGTTGAGACAAATATTTTATGCCTTCAAAGGTTTTCAATAACTTGCATTCTGAGACCATTAAAGGACTTTACACATGGTTTGTGTGTTGTACGGAAATCATACTTACTTTCGTTAATAAATGAAACTTCTAACCCATTCAATACTACCATATAAGGTGGAAGCAGATCCAGTTTATACTGAATGCGAAATGAGGCTACTAACTCACACATGCTTTCCTTAACATTCTTTTTGGTGTTCTTGCTCAAGAAAATTAAATTTGCAACAGTTTGAGCTTTGAAAGCCAAAAAGTAGTCTGAAAATGATAATCAAACAGTATGTGAGTCAATTTCAAAGAAAGGAGAAGAATTGTTCCATTTTTACCCTTTCTTTAGTCTTGGAACCAGCCAGAAAAGTGTTGGAGTTCGGAATCTTCTAATTCTGAGCTATTCATGCCCTTTCAAAGGTTAAAGCAAGTGCCCTTCCAAAGTTTTGCCCCATCTTTTTTCATTTCCCCTAATCTGCATTTTCAGCATCCTCTGTTCAATTCCCTCTAGTTCATACATTTTATATCAACTCTAGAAAGTCTTAAACTAACTGTCTTAGCTATGTGGATCCTTTTGGCTTTCAACTCTATTGGTGGCTACCATGTCCTCCTCCAATTCTAATCTCATAACATAAAACCCTAAAAGTGTCACCAAATTATATGGAACACTACAAATACATCCATTTTGATAAGCACGTGCATGCCAAGGAAGGATATTCCAAAATGAATTCTCAAAATATTCTATCGATTTTATCAAAGAGTCTTAGACTACTCATTAAACATCTTCTAGGTAGCATAGGCATCTTTGATCATCCATTTAAACAACAGGAAACGCTTTTTGAGGAATCAAAGGTTTCACCATAACATTAAAAAATAGCATACATCAAACCTTTTACTTAAACTAGTGTTCACTATCTATGATTTTTTTATATTATGGAATGCTGTATTTTGTGACATACACACTTAACCTGCATATGCCAATATGTAATCACTTTCTTTGGATGGTATTTTATCCTGTGAGGTACTGAGACAAAAGTGAAGATAGTTTTCTGAGCAATTTTAAGATTGTCTTCAATATCTTGAAGGTGCAATCTTTCTCCCCCAATTCTCATTGTTATTTCTGATAATGTACCATGATCTTCTAGTGTCCCTGTGTGTCAGTTCCAAATTCTAACTCAAGAGTCTATTAGACAACACACCAGTTACTCCAAACTCTTTTTGTCAAATTTTTAGTTTAGTTTCCTTTTAATCTCTATTGTGATATTAGAATGGCCTTCACTAAATTCTAAAACCCTTAAAGCTCCTCTACATCAAAGAAAATCAAGATTCAAGAGTTAGACAAACCAAACCAAGCCATCTTTTCCAGTGGGATTGACTACCTGAATCATTTTTGATCATTCTACTCTGTCAAGAGCTATATACTTAGTTAAATTCAATAAATTTATATATGTTTTTTACTACCACATATTCAATAAATTTATATATGTTTTTTACTACCACATTTCACGTCAGTTTAAGTCTTTCACTCCTCTAACATTGTCATGTCATTTATGGTAATTATATATCACTTTCTACCGGACATTGTTGTAGATAACTAAACCACCTGAACATGTTGTCTCTAAACTTATCATCAATTAATATTTTTCACGAATAAATTCATTTTTAATTCAAGAGTAAGATAACTAAATAAAAATCAAACTTGTTAGTAGGAAACATAAACCTGATTAAAATTCAAACACAAAATGACATTGAAACATGAATTTTAGGGTTTTAAGTGGTAGAAAAAAGGAGTGGGAATTGATAGATACATACTTGGCTGAGCGGCCCAACCCTGTTCACCACCCTTGATGCGCTCAGGGAGGGCATAGTTGACGGTGAGGACACGGACCGTCCATGGCGGCGGAGGCGTCTTCTTTCTCCAGAAACGTCACGAATCCGAATGACCTGTGCTTCTGAGTCGCCTGATCTAATGGCGTCTTCACATCTTTTATGTCCCCGAACGGTATGAACGCAGCGTGAAGTATCGATTCATTCACCTCCTCCGCCAAACCCCCTAAATTCAAATTCCCACCACCATTACTATACTATACATACACAGATATACACACATATATATAGATTTAGATGTATCGATTGCCTACCTACGTACAGAGTGTTCTTCTGAACAGGTTGATTCATTGGATTGTTGTTTCTCTCTCTCCCTCTGAGCTCAGTGTCTCCGAAGAACAAGAACAACTGCGATGGGCTTTTTGTGACAATGGTGATTATTAGGTCAGTCCACTTCGATCTGGAAGTGTGTCCACAAAAATTGATCCAGCCTACTTAATTCTCAACTTATTATTTGGCATTCCCTAAAATAGCGCATATATATATAGATATATATTTTAATTATATTTTTTTGAATCATATCATTTTATATATATATATATATATATATTTATTTGTTTATTTATTTTTAGGAAGTCTCAAATAATCTATTAATTAGTTATGGTAATTACCAATACACCTTAGCTTTATGAAAAGTATATTTGATTTCATGAGGTTTTTTCGGATTGTTATGTATTATTTTTCTTCATTAAAAAAATAAATAAAAATTTAAGACCAATTGGCCTACATTTTGGTCTGGTCTCCCAGGAAAAAGTTTGTTGGACAAATCTTGTGAGTAGGTTGGACATGTTTTTCACAAGTTAGGCGAAGTTGGCGTTACGCGGATTGTTTCTATTTGATACTTTATGATAATATAATTGGTAAAAAAGACGTAATATTAATTATTTATATTAGTGATTGAGAAACATAGTAATTGGTGAGAGAGTTTAATCACATAATACTACAGAACTATTATATAATTTTTTGTAAAGGAATTGGTTTGGTTTGGTTTGGTTTGGATTAGTAATAATCTAATCGTGATCGGTTTCAAATTTAAACTTAAGACCAAATTAATCATGGACTAGATTTAAATCAAACGGACTTGTGAATTAGAACTATACTAGAATAACTCAATGTATAACTTGGTTTAATTCGGATCAAAATTATGATTTTATTACATTAAAAATAAATAAATTAATAAATAATTAAAATAAACAATATAACACAAATAAAAAAAAATACAAACAAAGAAGAATGAAATACGGTGAACAATTTGAACGGAGACGGAGATCATAAAAAAGACCAAGATTGAATCAACAATCACATATTTGTAGTAGAGTGTATTGGCAATGATTAGGTTCCATCAAATTCCCTTGACTAATTACCTCAAGATATTAATATAGATAAAGGGTAATGATTGAGACGTTCATCTCACAAGATCTTTATAAATTTAAACGACTCATGATGTGAGCTCTATACATATATGGAAGATTAAGATCATTTTAAGGATGTGAGGATCATCTCAAAAGGTTCAAACATTTTCCTATAAATAAATTTTTATAAGTAATACTAGGTATCATGAAAAAAATATCATGAAAATGATCATGAAAAATTCTCCACCGTTAGATTACACATACAAAAAAACACCGCATACTAATCAAAATAGGAGAAATCTTCATGAAAGATTTCATGATATTTTTTTCATAATTCCTAATATCATTCAATTTTTATTTGTGCATTTTGGGTTTAAAACCTGACTTATTGGTATGTAATTGTGACGATGCCAAGTTCGTAGAAGAAAAGAGTGAAAATTTTTCATAAAAAACAAAAAAACAATGCCATTGCCGGGGATCGAACCCGGGTCACCCGGGTGACAAGCGAGAATACTCACCACTATACTACAACAACTTTGTTGATTGCAAGCTCACAAATTTACACATATATATATCGTTTGTTTTTCTTAATTTCATTCCTTCAAATAATTTAACACCCACACAAATAAAATTTGAATAAATAAATCCAAACTCATAGAAAATCACCCCCAAATTTATATTTTTTGTGGTTTGTTCAATATAAGTTCTTTTATTTATTTATTTATTTTTATTTTATTTTATAAAAAAAATTGTTTGAATGGAATAATTTTCTTAGATATAGAAACGCCTACCTATTAATTTTGTATAGCATAGTATTGGTGGTTCGTCTTGAGGTAATCCTGGGTCTACTGGGATATGAGTAGTATTTCATGATCACCCAGTGTTATTTTTGGAAGCTCACTGATTTTTTAATTCCAAAATATGAAAAAAATCTATTTTCACACACCAATTTTTCTTACTCTACACACTCAATAAATTTTTTTAGAATCACAATTTTATCCTTAATTAAAGTACAATTTAGGACAAAATCCTAAATCTATTACACACTAACCACCCTCTCTCTCTCTCTCTCTCTCTCAGATTTTGAACTTTCTCTTTTATAACAAAATCTTAAACTGTTCACTTGCTTATACTATTTTCTATCATGCTTTTTTTTTTTTCAGTTCAGTTAATGCAATTTTTTTAATAAAAAAGGACTTGTTAATTTGTATAAAAGAAAGTAGAGAAAAGTGATATCGATATAATGTATCAACACCCCTTGGCTCTGTCTTTAGACTTCATGATCAAATAATGCATGCTTTGTATAGCTATAAGTTTTGAGTTTCGGGGTTCATCTCATGCACCGAGTGCCTTTTTTTCATGTTTCGTGGCTGTTTAGCATCATATTTCAGTGCTGGAAATTACATGCCTGTATGCCATATTTCATGCCTTGCCATGCCTTATTAGAGTTGCATGTTATGCCTAGGATCGGTCATCGGTTTGCGTGCATGTGCGCACGCATTTTGATAGTCTCATTCTCACCTAATGGCTACTGATGTGAGTGTGGCTGAGGTCCACTCATGTTGGTGTAAGTCCATCGTGCATGGTGTATGCCATTTCATTTCATAACATTGTGTATGCTAGGTTGTATGTTAGAGCATTGTGTATGCCTCGTTACATCGTGCATTGTGTATGCCATTTCATAGCATTGTGTATGCTAGGTTGTATGTTAGGGTTGCATTCATGCATATCATGCATATTGCATAGTGTTTGGGAGAGGAGTTAGCCCAAGCACGGGAAACGAGGGACGTTTCGTACTACGAGTGACGGAACGTGTCTCAATTCCCTGTCGCCGACACTCCGGATTACCCATGATGAAGTTTAGGCCTTGTTGTGTCCATATGTGCATTCATTTCATATTGAGTCGTGCAAATCGACTCCTCGGCCATCATGCATCGAGACGCGTGATTGGTGGCACGAGGATCGAGGACTACACTCCCTGAAGAGTAGTCATGCATACATATGTGAAAATACTTTGCCATGCCCCTGTGTTGCTCTCTGTTGCAGCAAATCAGAAATCGGCAGCCTTCCGGAGCTTGGCATGCATCCCGAGAACAATTGCAAATAGAGGCGAACCGGGGCATCGCAATGGATTTCCGCGCAAGGCAACTCGAGTATGCATCATCCATCATTTGGAACAGAGCTGAAGCGGTCCACAGATTTGCATGTAATTTACTGCTTTCCTAGATTAATTTGCTAATTAATTAGGATTTTGTACTTATTCGGACTGTACTATTTATTTGGGACTGTATATTATTTATTCGGACCCTCCGAGTGAGGGCACAATTGTAATAAGTGTGCGTGTGTGTGATGTATGTCTTCCAACCCCACGTCTTTCTCCCTTTTATTTACCCGCTTATGATGGTTAGATTAGGGCATGTTTCAATTAGCATACAGTATGACAGCATGTTTGCATCATTCATCTGTAATGCATGCACCGGGCTCGGCGCATAATACTAACTGCATCGTATTTTCAATTCCAAGTTGAATACATGTTAGTTGTAGCATTTCATATGCCATGTCTAGAA